TAATCTCGCCCTGGTCAAGTTCAGTTTAAGACCCAGAGCCTCATTGGAGAGTGTGTATTACGCGGTCCCATGAATTTCTACTCTTTTTATAGGGGAAATTCATTTGTGCTCTGAAAAAACATCTCAAATGGAAGGTAACATGACTACCCAGACGGTCATTCACGTACGTTTAGTTGCCCACCAAAAAGTGGACGCCTAATTTGTCGTGTCTCTAGTATAACCGGAGCCATACTTCAACTACGTCATCGATGTCAGTCTGATCTTTGAACAGTCTACACTCGCAGCGATGTTAGAGATAACTAAAAATGCAGGCGCATAGGCCCAAGTCGGGAGAGCACGCAGGATGGGGATGAACATCATTTGACAGTATCTTTAAAGCAGCCCACATCTACCTCGACTCCTGTGCTATTGCACAAACAGAAAATAAGTTACCAAAAAACACCCAAGTAGGCCAGCGCACCACCGTCACAAATCACCAGCTATTGTTTGAGGTCAAAGTAGTGCCTTTCCCAATGATCTCAAGAAAGACTGGTCCCCATGTGCAGAGGAAAAAGCTCATTGATCTCTGCGTATCTCGTTGAGCTCGCTGAATAAGGACCTTGTTGTTATCCATCCAAAGGAGTTCATGGGGAGGATGGCCGTACAAAACCCGCTTTTCACTTTGACAAATAATGGGACGTAGAACATTTCTCATTTCTGCATGTCGGCACGATCAGTTCCGCAGTTGGTTCATGGAGCAGATGTTGGCTCGCTCAGATACCTTTCTACTTCTTTAGAGTATGATAGAAGGTGTTCATGCAGTCCAGGCAAGCTTGAGCGAAAACTTATCGGCTTACTAACTCCTTACCCCTCCTACTCGACATCGAAAAACTTGAGGAAACAACTGACCATCATTGCCCTAGATCGCTGCTCTCAAAGTAGTAATAAACATAAACATAGCTATATAAACAGACACTCTGATGGGCACAGACATCAAGGAGGCAACAATATTGCAAAGCCAGATGTAACTGGGAGATGGGTACGGGATGCATGACATCAAAAAAAAGTACTGAAACCTATGGGCCACCATAATAGTAAACCTATCTGGGAAATAGATTCAAGGAATTGATCTAACCGTCTAAGCTTCAAAATAGATCGAGAGCGATAATGATATACGGATCTAAATTCCTACAGTAATCCCATATCATATCACTACTTGTTGTAAAATTTCGTAAAATAGCACATAAAAGTTGTGTAGCAGGATGTAATGTAGTATTGGGATTTGAGTAGAAATTCGAACCCGTACAGAGTTAAGATTTTTTAAATAAAATGCGATTTTATAGGAGCACAGGCCCAAAATCCCACCCATAAAATAGTAACCAATTTTTTGCATAATTTGCGATTTGCGATATGACAAATATTATTGCGATATTGCGAAAATCCCATAAACATAAATTTAATTCATATATCAATCGATCGATACGTAACGGAAAGGTTTGTAGGCAAGCTGTTGGGCTGATAGATACGTAGATAGTGAAGCCTAAAGGGCGGCGCATTGAACGGCGCATGCCTAGGCAGACACTGGCAATGAATGGGAACAACTGATCTGATAAGGCCAAACTGCCATCGAGAATTAAAAGAGAAGCTGACTCACTTCCTTTAGCTAGCTTTGGAACACCTGGGCAATCATTAAGAATCAATCAATAGGAAATATTTATCGTAAAAACCACCTGCATAACGTCGCTTTCATACACGATTTCCAGAGCAAGTGGTCAAACAAATTAGGAAAGGTAATCGAGGATGCTATAAGCAAGCCTATCAATAAGGTGGGGGCTTTTGCAAACCGATGATTGAAAATGGTTTTGGCAAAGTAAAATGCAAAGTAAACAACGTTAAATTTTTAAAATCTTGAGAATTAAATCATTAAATCCCGAAAGAAGAATGGCGCCTGCAAAATGTAGCAAACATGGGACAGAAAGTGCATCCAAAGTTCAGAAGGGTCAGTCCTTCTACAATCATCGCACCGTAAAACTTTCGTTGAATTTGTAAGATCGGGCCAGTGCTACGAATCTAACGATATCAGTGCTATTGAACAATAATAAGTGAGGAAGCACAACTATGCCTCAATATTTCGATTGAATGGATTAGCACTAGTCAAGATTAAAATCAAGAGACTAAACTGGAAACATAACTAAAACGATCAAAAAGAATACCAGTCAGGAAACAGACTAAATTGTACCTTAGGCAAGAAATATCCGCCGAAAATGTAAACAGAGGCCGAAGCCCGGAATGAAATATGATAATACCTACCTTTCTGAAAATTCTAGAAGTCCATTGCTATGAAACGCACGTGAACTGGCTAAGGGAACATGTTGCCCTTCTATCAAAAACAAGCAGAGCTCCGACCAGTGAATACATATGTTCATTAAAAAGTTAACTGAGGTTGTAAACTGTAACCAACCNAATACCAGTCAGGAAACAGACTAAATTGTACCTTAGGCAAGAAATATCCGCCGAAAATGTAAACAGAGGCCAAAGCCTGGAATGAAATATGATAATACCTACCTTTCTGAAAATTCTAGAAGTCCATTGCTATGAAACGCACGTGAACTGGCTAAGGGAACATGTTGCCCTTCTGGCAAAAACAGGCAGAGCTCCGACCAGTGAATACATATGTTCATTAAAAAGTTAACTGAAGTTGTAAACTGTAACCAACCAAACCTATCAATGCAGTGACTCCACATTCGACCTTCTTATAGCCAGGGTAAGACGAATAGCGATCAAGTACATCGTTCAGCTATTGTGAAGCTTCAATAGATTGGCGTTTCTCAGCGGGTTGCTATGAGGCTTGCTTAAGCGTTTATGCGGACAAGCCTCATCTGAGTTTTGGCAAAATATTATCCCCATAAAATCATTTGAACTTAAGGAAAATTTCGAGATAAATGAACGATATTATAAGAAAGCCTGTTCTGCTCATTTGTGACTAAAAAAGAGAGATATGAAGCGAATTGAAATAGTACTTTGATGTACTTTACCTTACGGTAAACAGCACTTTTCAGCAAATGTACTTTTTAGCGTAAGCTAAAGTGCATTAAAGATCAAAGAATATCCAGAAAGTACACAATATAAAAAAAAGGCCGCAAAACGTGTAAAAAGGAATCTCCAGGAAGCGATGATTTAAGGTAAAACTTTACTGCAGTTTCTAGAAGTTTCCATGAAACTAAAAAAAGAGTTCAAAGGGATGAATTTAGCAAGGATATCGGCCAAAAACCGATATCAAAAGATTAGGGAAATACCATTCATTCTTCAAGTAACATTAAATTTATATGAAAAAATCAATTCAACGTATACGCTCGGGCGATTACATTTTGGAAAACTGGAATCGGATTTTTCCGATCCGACGGTGACGACTTGTGAAAAGAAGACATTTCGATGAATAGCTTTACAAAACTGCCACACCCTAGAGCGATCTGAAAGTACGTTTCTCAGGAACAACGCCGACCTGTTCGGGTTCTCTAATCGGCTCACAAGGGACCATTTAAATTGCATTCAATTTAACTAAAAAATTCCAGAAAAAAAATGACTCAATTATTTGATTGTGACGGCAAAGATAAGGGGATTATTGAACAGGAAGACAAATGAGCAACGAATAATACTGCAAAAACGAACGGAATTCCTAATAACAGACTTTCATGAAAACACTAAAGAACAAGGATAAATCTGTGGTTTGCTCTTCAAAGAAAGGGCAATAGAACCTGATTCGATTGAATTGAATTGATGACCCCTCATCGTTGATGGACAGTTGCCAGATGACCATGCATAATCAAAGAACAGGTAAGTCAGGAAAGGATCAAATGTATACGGTCACGTACGACCCGATTTCATGAACATCTAACCCCGCAATTGTTTTCTGTTTCCATACAAATGTGTTTATAAAATCATAAGGTATGCTCAAATTGCTAAGTACAGTGCAAATCTGGAAAAAAAACTCGTTCTATGATCAAATTCCTATCGTAATATTAGCCGTGCAATGGCGTTTTACCCGTAATTCTCTTGCGGCTCAAACATGTTATTTTACGACTATTCGCGATAAAAGTTAGCGATGGAAACTCTGGCATGGGTTGAAATTCCAAACATGCCTAAAAGCATTCATAACACTTCAGACTATTTGGAAACGCCCAGCAGTCGTTATTCGTGTTCCCGTTCCCGCTCATAATCCTCCCAATTAGTGGTTGTCGTCATTGTTCGCCAAATTTTCGTGACGAGAGCTAAAATCCCATTTTTGTATCTACCCTCCTATGCTTAACTATGTTTAGTTGATCTCCCTTCTGTCAAGACTCGAATAAAAAGAAATAAGAAACCAAACATCAGTTAGTCTAGATTTCATCCGGAAAAAAGGTAAAATGAAATAAAAAGTACGGAGGACCCTTACGTCTACCTTCCTCATTCAAACACTTAGGCAAACATCTTCCAAATAGGCGGACAAATCTTCAAATAACTCTTCGAGTTGGATCCAACTTTTTCACAACACAACAGGTCACTTCAAAAAGTAGCCTTTTATAACAGTAACATTAACAAAGTTCAACACTAAAAATGAGCAAAACTATGTGAAATAGCGAAACGATCTTCAACAATTGTCTGGTGAGAAGTAAAATATCAGGTAATCAATTCAATCGATTCTGGTCGAGCTTCAGCTATGACAGCTGTCAGACCCTCGGGGTAAAAATGTGACAGTTGCTTAGAAAAGTTCAGTCAAGGAGTACAAAGGACAAAAATTGGTTGAAAAACAAGTCTGTAGCTAAGTACCACATAAGATCTCTTCCACACCACAGAACAAAGCAACCTATCACAGCACGCACTTAAGTATGGGTATTGATTTTGCGCGAGCGCAACCCATTCCCTTCCAGTCCATGCGGCGATATGGCGTCTGAAGTGTGAAAGCAGCAAGGATGAATGGGTTTTGTAAAAACAATCATGACAGCTAGACATCAATCTAAACATATTCTACAAAGCGCACTGCATCAAACCAGATCTTGATAGGATCGTCTCGATTTATCTTTATAGAAATAATCTGGTTCTTCGTCCCATAGGCCAAGATCACGTTCACGCTGTAGCTCGTCTTGTTTTTCGTAGTTATGATGTATGAGCAAATATTTGATCCTTTTACAAAGTTCATGCCATCTTCTGGGCGAGTTCTGCTTCAATTTTTCTGCATACAAGTTCCTGTAGTGAATCAGTTTCACCAGTTCATTCGCACGGTGCTGTCCAGGAAAACCTCGTAGCCACTTTGGCGTATGATACTGCAATAAGGCTGGGTGAAGTTGACCATCTCCGAGTAGGTCGATGTAGTCATTCTGGCCAAATAGCGCTTGCGAATCTCGCCATGGTTGGCGGTTGCGAATTGGCGGTCGCGCGACTGGTACGCGACAGCCTGGAATACGTGGTAGTGGGTCTATTCCTGGGCGATGGTAGCGAAACTGGTAGCCGGCATCAGGTGGAAAAGCTCTTGACTTCTGACGGTCATCAACCACACGCGGCACTGAACTACGACTGTGGAGGGTCGCCTGGGAACTTGCAACTGGCGGTATGTTCAGAAGTAGCCGACGGGTTGCCAGCATCGTGCTGAAAAGTAAATTCTACACACAATTGCAGATTCTGTTCTGCGAGCGGTCGCGTCGCGATCACCCACAAGTATGAACGAAAACGCGGTAGCAGCAGAGGAACATTAGGCGTACGGATGCAGCAAAATAACCCTGAATAAAGGAGCCTACTCCGAAAGTACATGCCGAAATACCATGCAAACTGTACGTGAGTTAAAAACCAGCAAAACAGTCAACCAAGCTTACGGCTGCGCAACCGCACGCGTCACATTCCCACTTTGCGGCCGCGTTTTCAGTGAAAGAAGCGTAGTAAAAATATAGAGCAAGGAAAGGTGAAACAGCAATAAACTTCAAAAACAAATGGCCTGTGAACCATTTGATTACCAAGAAATTCAAAGGATGCAATAAAATATTCACTGCAAGACGTAAATTAGCGAAAATTTCAAAACGGAACCGTACAAAAACAACTTTTGAAATTGTATCGCACGTAAACTTCAAAGGATATTGGAAAGACTTTCAAGAACATTCAAATACATGCCAAACCATCTGTCAACAAACGGGTATTATACGACCTGTCGATTATCAATAAAGAGCAAATATGACACGAAAGGAATACTAGCAAAAAACGAAAAAAACGACTTTTAACTCGAAAAAAGGGAAAAGAGGATTAAAGCAAAATAAAAAAATGGAACAGACTTTGCTGGACTTTCAAAAACTCATCGTAAACCGTACTCTTAGCAGAACTCATTAGAAATGGAATGAAGATGAGCAAGAACCAACTTCAAACAACCGGAAATCGGAAGCCGAAAGGAGTTTGAAAACTGATGGCAAGTCATAGTGATCTCACCATTCACTTTCAAGGTATGGTGACCGAAATAATCCTACTCATCTAGTTTCAATGGATAATTCTACAATAAGATGAAATTCCGGAAACAAAAAATATTTTGAATAACAGATTCAAAGCGTAACTATCTCTTTACAACTTAATCTTTCACCTTAGTAGGTTCAGATAATCCTTCAAAAGGAAAAGGAATGCCACATTAACCCCAATAACGAACAATCAGACATCATACTCATCGTCATCCTGCGCTGGTTGTGCTGCAAATACTTGCTGTTCGGGAAGCAGAGTCTGTACGGTTGCTGCCTGTGCTCGTAGCTGATCGGGATCCTGTTCCCGTGCTTGCTGGATTAGTTGCTGCTGCATAAGGTACAGCTCCTCTTCTGGTATGCCGCATTTGTCAAGTCTCGAATTCTTTCGTTTCAGACGTTTCTCAGCCGCAACCTCAACCAACACCCATAAATCAATGAAACGACCTATACAGTAAGCTTTAAATTGCAGTTGGAATACAGACCAACAGAAACTTTCTTTAAGAGTAGTTTTACAATCAAGGGCGCCAAATGGGTTAGTAGCTAAAGAGAAAACTGGCACCCCAGGAGCCCCAATGGGTGTTCCAGTTCCGACCGAAGTGCGAACTCATCCTTCAAACTATCGACTGACTGGGCTGGCTGTAGAATCTGGCATGAACCTCCTTGATGAGATCCACAAGTAACCTTACCACTCCCAATAGCTTTCACATCTAGGTTATTCCCAGAAGCAAGAACTATCGTTACAGTTTTATGCTATAACAAGGGTGAGAATGCAAACAGTCTTGACAATCACGCTATTTTGAAAACGACCACTTTGCACTTTCCCGGAAAAACAAACTCTCATAAACCAAGCAATTGGTAAAAGGCAAATATTGGAAACGGGAATGCCGTGTACAGAACACAAAGGAATAACCTTGATTGAAGATTGGAAGGAGCAGAGCGCGACCAAATTCAATAGGTCGTTTAGAGATGTGTTGAACTTTAACAGGTGAAAGGGAGCAAATATAAAAGTGCTATAAAGGGAGAAACGGAAATAAAGAGATAGGCGCAAAGTGAATTCATCCAAGCCTAGCAACCCTTTTAAGGTTAAGTTCCGGAACTTATTAAAAACGATTTGCTTGCGGAGCGGGGGACATGATGGGAGGAAGGCAGGTCTCCTGCGATTCGGAGAGGAACCAAAGCACCGGAGATTCGGAATAACCATCCAGCAGTGGTAAAGCAGTTGGAAAGCGCGGTCGACACTACTTTTTCTGGCTCCTCACGACATTTGCTCTGAAATCCTGTCATGGGAGCTGGAAAACTGGCTGACAAAATCCGACTGTGCGAGACAACAAATTCAAAGGAATCAAAAGAAGAGGGAGCCGGAAAGGGTGAGCGAGACCAGTTGTGAAAAGGTAGACTACATGAATATCTAGCAGATGAAGGAGGCTATTTTCGTGAATAAGGCAAAGGAAGCCTAAAATGGTCTTTGTTGGAAGAAAACGCGAGATGGGCCGCATTTAACCCATCTTTCGGGTGAGGCAGCTAAAAAGGCTGACTAAAACAGCGCAGGCATAGATATAGGGATAAGCCGCAGTTTTCAAAGGAACTCTTTCCATTCAAGAGAGATCGCTGAGTAGTGGAAAGCTATTATAATTAGTTCTCTGACACAGAGCTAGGTAGACATTATCGCGCCTTTTCACACTTCATTCAACCCTGAGGTTATTCGGGACAGCTATCTTTGCTCTTCTATCGCATTTTTAGGCAGCAGAGGTGTAGTGGCTAGTGGCGCACCATCATAGAGGTATGACCTGAGGATCCAATCCCGGATATGCACAGGCCAACTAAGTCTGTCATCTCTTCGGGGTCATTCATTTGTCCCAAACTCGATGAGGAGGAAAAAACAGACTTGTCGATCGGCCGGCCAGCGCAACTCATTGTACCCAACTCATTCAAACGATACTACGATTCTAGTTGAAGTCGAATACTGAGCGCACCCCAAAAACAGGATTGATGAATCCCGAAGACTTTATTCTTCATCCATTCATCGTATTTTTCAAGATCGTGCACCTCTAAACATCATTTTTATGTCACGGTCTTAATTTGCAGCTAATTTACGAAGAAGTACTCAAGTTACGAGGCCATCTTCGTGAATTGGCTGCAAATTCACACTGCGACACAGAAAACCAACCACCAGCCATACTATGAATGTTGACTGCCGTGAATGGGATTAGATTCAATTGCGACAAGGTCAAGGCAAAGCCAAATTGCAGCTGGACTCTCGTACCAGTCAGACGAGCGAGTGCAGCCACTGATTTCTAGATTCGTCGCTCACAGGTTATCTAAGCAGTTGGCAGAGCTAACGGATATTTGTGTAACTGAAGTATAGCCCAACAGTCATATT